ATCTCCAACTCTTTTTTTTTTTTTTTTTTAATTTTTGAGACAGGATCTCACTATGTAGTTGAGACTGACCTGTAACTCACTATGTAGCCCAGGCTGGTCTCGAACTTGCAGCGATCCTCCTGCCTCAGCCTCCCGAGTGCTGGGATTACAGGCGTGCGCCACCACGCCTGGCTTGTCCTGCTTTTTTAATACTTTAAATAAATAAATAAATAAAGGCTGGGATTTTAAATAAGGCTGCAATGAAACTTGGGATCCTCTCCCTCAGCCTCCCAGAATTCAGGGATCACCACTCCTTACTTGCTGGAGAGTCTCACTTGGCTTCTAGCGTTTCCACATGGTAACTGGGGCCAGGTTGGTGCTGCTCACTTAGTTTCTGCGTGGGGAATGACGGCTGGGTCTCCCATCCTCTGTTTTGTTGAGGACACTCACTCCCTAGCCCATGCCTTTTCCTTGCAGCCCATGGCTCCTCACGTCAACACAAGACTGCACACAGCAATGGTGCTCAGGCCAGTGCGCGGCTCAGCAGGAGTTCCTGGGTCAGCACAGACAGTGACAGCTGAGGGCGAGGGGAAAGATGAAGGCTGGAATAATGAGAGTAGACGTACAGCGAGAAGGGGCAACAGGACTGGGTCTTCACACACACGCACACGCACACACTCACACGCACACGCACACACACGCTGTACGGGACGGACTGTCATCACTGGGATCTCCCACAGAGGGAGATCGGCCATCTGCACCGAGTCTAAGGGTGAGGCGCAGGGGCTCCATCTCCCCCTGAGAGAGGCTGGACCGCTTCTTTGCTCTTTCTTCCTTGTGCTTTTTTAGGCTGCTGGTTGACACCGGGAGATCTGTCCTGGGGGCCTTGGCACCTGCCCGCCATCACGGAGCCCAGCACTCCCGGGGGAGCTGTGTATCTGGGGCCTGGCCTAGGTCCCCAGGGCAAACAAACTGATTAGGTCGAGGCGGGGCTGACACTTGGAGCCTGAGCCGGTGCCATCTGTGGCGTTTTAATCCCTGCTTTAAAGGTTCTGCGCTACTTCAGATTTTTCTAATTTTTCCATTTTCCAGATGTTTACTCCCCGAGCATTTCCCACAAAAGCTGAGAAACTTCTTTTGAAAACTTGGATGGCTCAGGCTCCTTTGGGCCAATGGTTTTAGACTAAACTAAACAGAAGTGGGAGGAAAAAGGTGCTTGTCCTGTGTTTGAAGATTCTGAAGAAATCCTCTGAAGAAATAACAAAGGCGGGGCCAGGAAACAAAGTATTCATTTCACATCCCCATTAGGCTTCCACCTGTTGTGTCTGATCCCCCCTCAGCTGCAGGGCCGGCTAATCTGCAGCACATTTGTATCAACAAATTTGCACAACGCAGCCTAATTATCTGGCTGAACTGGGTCCCCTTCTCCAGCAGCCTCAGCCAGACTGAGCAAGCTGCTGTCCCTAAGTATGGCTAACGACAGCTACTTTCGCCCCAGCAGTTCCCCAGCCACGCTTTTATGGCCCTGTTCCAGGAAGGGTCAGAGGGGGCCGAGCAGGATTCCTGCTCCTGCAGCGAGCAGGGCCCACTTCCCTTTGCACGCCACATTGTTTGCTGGTGAAGAAACTCAGCAGGCTTCCATCAGTAAATAGCTGCTCTTCGGAGCCAGGTCTACCAGGAGCCCTGTCGGGCAGGCAGTGTGGAGGGCAGAAAGAGCACCGGCTGGGGAGCGGAGCTGGTGCAGCTGTCCCCGGCCCTGCACCACACAGAGAGTTGGCCAGAGTGCAGGTTTCTTCTCCTTCCCGCCCACAGCCCAGGTGAGGATCTTCTGTGTTAACCTGCCCAGAGGCGGGACGCACAGGATTCCAGGCAACCCTGCTTCCTGCCAAGCAGCCCAGTCCTCAGACCTGGCGTTGGGGGAACGAAGGCCCAGTCCCCAGTGACACGCTGGGCTTGTCACAGACAAAAAAAACATACACAGCAGCCTGAATCCAGTGCCAAAGGGACGCGCACTGAGTGCACTAACAGGGCCGGTCACGAGCTTCTCAGGTGCACACAGGAAAACCTGTGTGGGCCCTGGGCACCTGGGCCACACCTCACAGCAGAGTCGCTGACACAGGGCCAGTGCTTGCGGGTCTAAACACCTCTACTGTGGAAAACGCGCAGGCAGCAGAAATACGTGGCATAAAGGTGTCCCTGTCCCGGCTACTTCCCAGGCACAGAGCCTGTGGGGCTGCAGGTGGCTCCGGGCGAGACAGCCAGGAGCAGTGAGACCGCGCCGGCTGGGACAGGGCCGTGAGCGAGGCCAGACTTGCACACTGTGCTCTCAGGTGGCGCGAGGTTCCCGGCTCTTCTGCAGTGCTGAATTAAGCTTTGTTTGTGTCACGCTTTTACTGGCAGCAAGACAGGTGTCGGGTTCTGAACGGCAACCTCAGGTCAAGCAAGCGACACTGCCTTGTGCCTCGAAGTCTAGGGCCTGCAACACCACGAGGCGATGCGAACCTTCTGGCTGTCAGCGCTGAGGGCTGACCATCACCTGCAGGGCTGTCACGGTGCCCTGTGACTGTGCAGAACAGGCAGCAGGAGCTGTAGCACTGTGCTGTGCGAGGGTGCAGGAAGACTGTCTGCATGGTGATGAGGACTCTGCCCGGTGGGGCATCTGCAGAGACCCCAGGGGCAGAGAGGGCTGTGCCCAGGGAAGCTGGCACAAAGCTGTGGCTAAGGGACCACAGGCCAGGGAACAGCACAGCAGAGGCCAGAGCAGACGCCAGGGAGCACAAGAGAAAGGGCGGGCACCCAGGCCTGCCCAGGCTTCCCCGAGCTCCAGTTCCTCTGACACGGGGCCACCATAATGCCAGAGGGCAGCAGCTGGAGCCTTTCTGGATCTGGGTTGACCTTGGCAGCTCGGTGGGCGCGGGACAGAGGAGGCAGTGTGGGTGGCCAGGGTCAGGCACTGGCCACACTGGTCCCTGTGCAGTGGATGGGGCCCTGGCTGGGACTCCCCGGTGGAGAATGGGCACTCATGCCCGACATCACCTGTGCTTGTTCCTGGGGCACCACAAGGCCTGGTCCTCCCAACGTGCTCCCCTCTCTGCTTTAGGGACACTGAGCCCTGCTGGAAACCTTGTCACATAGCTGCTTCTCGGCAGACACGCGTCTCACCTTTTCCTTTGGGTTTTTATGACAACATCAAGTGCACCACCTCCCCCGGCGGCCCCTGGTCACTCGCCTGCTTGGTTCAGGTGTGGCTGGCTCCTTGGAGGAGGATGACAGAGTACCTAACAGTCACAAGTCCCAGGCCAGAGTCGGACAGCCGGTCAAGCCCCTCTGACATTTTCTGGGTTACAGTGGGCAAGGGACTCAGCCTCTCACCTGTAAATCAGTTTTCCCACCTGTAAAACAGAAAGCACAGTCATGCCCTCCTCCCAGAATAAGATTCTCTGGAGTGAGAATCAGATAAAATATGTGACAGCATTAGAGCAATAGACAGCATAAGGTATCCAGTCAGGTATACCGTGCATACAAAAGCCCCAGGACATATTCAGCAAGTAATTATACTCAGAAATGCGAGTGCTGCATCCATTGCTAAGGGTCCTAAGTGTCCAGGAGAGTACACCCAGCGAGTCTGTTGTAAACACATTCTACCACCCCCTCCTATGCACTGAAGGCTTTGGGAGCCCTGTGCAAGGGTTTTGGGTATAGCCTGGCATATCCAAGGTCGGGGAGAGAAATATCATCCTCCTAGTCCAAAAGTCATCTACCCAATGTGCATGTAAACTAGGTGTCTTTATGTCTAGAAAATTTGCTTTTCCCAAAATGTCAGGATTCCTTAAAAATAATCCCCAAAGATAGAACCTTGAAAGCAAAGCAGGACCTTTCCCCAGAACCAGCAGTCAATTTCCTAAGGTGATTTCCAACCTGCTTCCTGACAACAGAAATGCAGAAGTGCAGACCCCCATGCAGCCCCTACCAGCCAGTCCAACACCTCACCAGCCATTTAGAAACACCAACCACGGGCCCGAGCCAGAGCAGAATAAGGGATTGGATCGGAGGCTCAGTAGCCTGGCCCTGCTGAGTCTATCCATGCAGTAGTGTGAAATTGGTAAGGGGCAGGACCAGTATGACGGGAATTCGGACTCCTGAGTGCTGGGATGCGGTAGAAGGTCCGGGTAGCCTAAAGCATGGCCTCACCCTTCCTTTCTCTGAAGTGCTCTGCATGCCCCAGCAAACCAAATGACGTCCCAGTGCCATAGCAGTCTCTGCTGTGAGGAAATTGAGTAGAAAATAACCTCTGTGTAAGAGATTGGGCTCTCCTGGTGGGGACAAGTCTAAGAAGCAGAGCTCCGGGGCTCCAGCTTGCCATTGATCTGGGAACAAAATAAACCAAACAAAGCCTTTATTGTTTCACAACTTCGGGCCATCATCTCTATAGCTCAAATATGCAGATAGAAAAAGCGAAAGTGACGTGGTTTCCATCTAAAGCCTGTTCCTTGGCTTAATGTGGGCAGTGCTAAATTCAGGAAATGGACTCAGTTGCAAACACATCACCTCCCCCAGCAATCCCAAGGCTGCATTAAGCTGAAAGAAAACCTCTTCTTGCAGCACTAGTGAGAACTGATAATTTCTCGAGCTATTGTCTCATTGAGTCGCAGTTCAAGTCCAGTTAGCCCAGTACGAACTGACCATTCTCCAGAGTGACACCAAGCAAACCGACACCAAACTGCCCTTTTCTGAACCACATCAGTCAAATGCCAGAATCACAAAATCACAAGTTAAATGCACCACCGGGTATAGGGAAGTCTGCGAAACACATTAAGGTCCCAGAGGTCTTCTGAGATATTTTCTCTCCTTCCTAATAATTTTAGCCAGTGTTTCTGTGAGAAGCTTGGGGGTAGTGTAAATGGTGTCACTTTTCCTTATAAACCACTCTTTCCTTTGGTTTCAATCACATGGATTCTGTTGAAATCATAATTTTACTGCTGAAGTACTTAGATGTTTCCAGAATTTTTATCACAGGAGACACCACCATGAAGAATTGGATGGTGGGATATTATTTTCAGTGATGACTTCTCCGGTATTTTTCAAAAGTCGAGTCTTTTCGGTGAAAACAAATGTTTTCAGCAATGTGTCATTAGTTCGATTTCAAAATATTGATCCCTGAAATTATCTCTTTAGTCTTCTTTAGTCTCACCAAGGCTGGGATTATAGCTACCATAGTAAAACACCAGGAGTTATGTACTGTACATAGTAAAACTAAGAATTTATTAAGTTCAATACTAAAGCTACAGGCCACATAAAAGCTGCCATGTTAGGGAGGCAAGCCATTCTGACCCGGGGTGGAGCTTTACATATTTTTACCATCTGCAAGCACTCATGCGGGATTTTACTATCTCCACCTCAATATAGTCTTCTGAATAAAATCCGACTTCCTACTTATCTGGTTATTCTTTTATTAGCTCATAGCCAGCATGTGTCACAGAAAGCAATTTAGTCAGACACCTTGTCCAGGAGCAGACGGGAAGAATGTTTTAGAAGATGAACAGGTGTTCATTAAAAATCTGAAGAAGAGAGAACGCTGCCACTGCCAACGTGGAGACTCTACTGTGTCTGGCTCCTGGTGCTCCAATGTCCCAACACGCCATCTGCCACAACAGTATACACCCTGGTGCTGTCCTAAGCACTGGAGGAAAACCGAATGATGTTATCATGGAGCTCTGTGACCCACAGACACGGGCATCAGAGGCCGGGAGCCTTCTTGGCTTACAGAATGAGAGCACAGTAGATCGCAGAGGGCCTGGCCTCCAGCTTCCTGTTACCGTGGGCAGCCTGGACCTCATTGCCCTGGACCAATCCAATACACCAAATGCCCCAACGCTCAGCAGATTTCTTCTTCTATTCATGGGATTCATTTGTGTCCTGTTGAGTTTCTTCATGGCTGGCATGTTCACGAGAGTAAAACGGCCGGGCTACCTGATGGGCTAGGGTGCCAGGAAAGAAATCACTGCCTTGGCTCCTGTCACTAAAGTGTTAGAGGCCATTCCAGTCCTCTGCTATGAAATGTGAGAAAAAAATGAAGAGCAGCAATAAAAAAATTATTGAGTGAAAGCACGGGAGGCATTTCAAGCTTAGACTAGAGATTTCGATATCAGAGATGAGTAATGTTTTCATCTTAGTTTTCTGTTTGTTAAAGAAAACACACTCCACTTCTCCAATTGTCATAGTGAGTAAAGCTGTTATTTTTTTCAATGCCCTCAGCACTTTTGGAGAAACCATTTATGAATCCTGAAAATCAATGCAACATCAGGAAGTAGATCCCGTGGCCAAAAAGGGGGCAGAGGATCTGCCTGGCTGGTGGTCCTCTGCCTTCAGCTGGTGACCCTGCCATGTCTCAGATGTGGGTATAGACTGCTTCCTTGAGCAGAAACAAATATTTTTTCTAATGAAAAAAAAAGAAACAATATAAAGAAGAGAGCTGAGGATCCATGAGAGCCAGCCCCTTGACAGCCTCGGGCTGTGGGGAGACCTGTGCCCTGGGTGAGGGACTGTCACTTGTGGCATGAACCAGCCACAGCCAGATCCCGCCAAGGAGAGGCAGAGTGCAGTGTGCTCGGCCCACCGGAGTCTGATACCCATCCTATGCTATTGTTCCCGTGTGCAGGCAGGGTGGCCTGAGGGGGACTCAAGTTTGTGAAGGACATACACCAGGATTGCCCGTGGATTGTAGAGAAACGAGGGCAGCTTCTACAGGAAGCTGGGTAGCAAAAAGGCCTCCACCACAGGCCCGGGCACTTGTAATTTATGTGAGTGACATGGTGGGTTGTCTGCAGGAAGGAAGAAGCAGTCAGAGTGAAATGTGCTCATTCACAGCCAAACTGAGCGGGATCCTGAAGGGGGCGTACGTGGTGCACCTCCGCGGGACTGTGGCCTGCTAAGTCAAGGCAACCGCGTGACTTCTTATAAACCTTTGCATTGTTCTGTGCCTAATATTGGGTTTGGTTTGGTCTATTTTGTTTCGGGTATTTTGGTGTGGGTAATTTGCAATTAGCTGTTACTGAAAACACTTTCCAAAAAATAAGATCAAATTTTTATTTCCCAGCTATATTAAAACATTGTATTCAGGCTGCTAAACTATCTGAGTCCTTAGAAAAGTAAGCAGATATGGATCAAGCTCTCTGTCCCTGCAAGTGGAAATACAGTGTTAGTCCACGGGTCTCTAAGGCAGTCACTGCTACAGAATCTCGAGAGGCTTAGGATTTCTGCTCTTCCTGAGGGACATAGCGAATGGCTACTATCGTATAGGACCTCCTCCATCAAAAAGCACAATGCCCACTTATTATTAAATGTTTGCATTGGCCCTTTGAGCCAGTGACTGTCTCCTTTTAGAGACAATAAACACTGAGATTTAAGTGAGTTATGCATGTATAAGCTTTATTGTTTTAAAATCATAAAAATTTTAAGCTAAGGAATTTTAAAGATTATCTCCTCATACTAGTCAGCTTTCCTGTTTCTGGACCCAATGCCTGAGATTCACAGTTTAAAGGACTTGAGGTTTAATTCGCTCATGGTTCAGAGGGTTTAGTCCACGGTCAGCAGCTCCGAGGCAGGAGCATCATGGCGGAAGGGCCTGGGGGAGCAGAGCTGCTCAGTTCATGGTGGACCAGGAAGCACAGGAGGGGAGCAGGGCCAGAGAGGAGGGGGCTGGGGACCAGATACAGTTCCCGAGGTCAAGCCTCCATGACCCAGGAGTGTGCTCCCCCAGGCCCCGGGGTGGCTCCCAAGCAGGCAAGCAAGCAGACTCTTCTCCCCAAACACTGTGCTACTCCTGCGTCTTTCTCTTAGAAGCACTAAACCAAGTCCTCTCTTCTGTCTCACAGTGAAGGGCTCTGTTCCTACAGTGACAAAGCAGCTGAGCTGGAAGGGATCCAGACCCCAGCCATGTGCCAGGGCTGGCTGCATGGTGGAAGGGGCGGGGGAGACAGTGGTGGCCAGGAGGCCACCCCGGCTCCTTATCTGTTGCCCAGTCAGAAGCAGCTGCAGAGTGTAGACACCAAAGCACCAAAGGAAGTCCTGCCCTGGCTTTGCGGCTACGCAGATCGAGATCTCCAGGAAGCATAGCAGGAGCAGCAGGAGGAGGAGGTGTGCAGTGAGGTCTGGTCCTCCTCGGAGGCCAAGGGAGCTCTGCTGCAGCTGGGCTGGCCCGGCGTCCAGCTGGGGAGGGAGCAGGCCTGTGCTCTCTGTCACCGTCATGGGCCCAGTCATGGGAGGTGGGATGCAGGGGTACCCAGAACACCCCGCTGGGACCATGCATCCGTCACAGCTGTGACTCTGGTGGCCCAGGAAAGCTGCATGCGGCCTCTGCTGATTCCACAGCACAGCACACATTAGACGTTTT